GCTTGTCATTTTTCCGATACTTAAAAGAGCGCCTATTTGCAATTGCGTAGTTTTTAACACTCTTTCGGAATTCCTCGGCGCCGCCCCTAAATATCTGTTCCTCTCTTTTGATGCAATATCTCCAAGAATCGGTCATCTCGTACCAATGAGAGAGTACACTTCATCAAGAGTTGATTCAAGATTTATAGAGAACACATACATTATCTTTTTATGTGCAACTTCCTAATTTATCACTTTGTGCCCCTTCCATGTATGTAACAATAATTGGATTTTTTTAAAAAAAAAAAATCTTCACATTTTCCAGCAAATATGGTACCAACAGTGAGTAAAGTGGTACTATCTATCCAAACAGAGGCACACAATCATGAAGAATAGTACTATCACTATTCTCATCTTATTTTTTTGTTTTATGGTCAATAACACCTAATATAACCTAACAATAGCATAAATTTAGTATACATGAAAAAAAAAATGATCATGATCACTTTATTTATTTTAGGGTAAATATAAACAACAATATTCAACATTCAATCATTCACAAATCAAACAAAAATATATGAATTAAAGATGATTTTTGAACTCCAAAATTCTCATGTAATACATACATTACTTACTACTTCAAGTTTTCGCCGGAAAAAGTCACAATCTTGCCGGAAAAATAAGAATTTTCGGACTGAGAGATACCAATTTTTGGCCCGATAAACAGGAATTTTCGGCCGGAAAAATTCCTAATATCGCCAGATTTGTTGTCTTCGGAAAAAGCCCCAGGGTCCGGTTTGTATTCGACGCCGAGATGAAGCTGCGAAAAAAAAAAATATTACACACTGGCACTGCTGAAGAAGAAAAAAGTGGGAAAGAAGAAGTAATGAGGAAGAAGAGTGAGAAAGATGTATTTTAGGTAGCAAAAATAATTTAATAATGTAGATAGTGGGTAGTAAAAATAATTTAATAATGTAGATAGTGGGATGATGTTATATATAAATTTCTTTGTCATTTTTTTTAATAGGAGGGATTTAAATGGAAGATGATTAAGGGGGTAGGTAGTTAAAAGGAAGAAAAATATGGGGAGGGACTGACTTGGAACTTGGAAAGAGAGTTAGGGAATTTTAAAGAAGACTCCCTTTTTTTTTCATTTTTTAGGTTTAATGAAAATATTTTTCTTAATTTAGTCTAAAGTTACTAAAAAATCAAATTAAATAAAAAAAATTAAATATGTTGGTAGAGATATTTTTCAAAAGGTACATATGGTAGTGCACATTGTGTAATCATGAAAGTCTTATCCTGCGCCGCCATAATTTTGGAAGAGAGAGATATTTTTTTAGACTGACTGTTTATGAGGACATAACGGAAAGTTAAGCAAAAACATAACGGGGTTAACACGGAAACAACGCGAGGGGAGCGTGCGCAATCGAAAGTATAATACAAAGGGGTATGACGCAATTTTTAAAATACAGGTAGGGATGAAAACGATCGGAAACGATCGACATAAGGCTCAACCATTTCCACTTTCATATTTTTTTCTCGAAAACGAAAATGATACGATAATATCGGAAACGAAAACGACATCGGTATTCCGATAATATCGAAAACGAAACTATCCGATCGAAAATACATCGATAACAATCGAAATATATTAAAACGGTATTTAAAAAACGATAAACACACCACATTATAAAATATAGCATTAAAACATTAATTGAAATATTCTCATGGCATAATAGTAGCAAAATCCAAATTAAAATCCACACCATTTGCTATAACAAAATCCATACAAATTCCAATAACTAGCAATTGAATTGTGACTTGTCCACCAAATTCTCATGGAATAATAGTAGCAATTGAAATTTGAAACATGAAATGGGAGCAATTAAGTGAGAAATCAACCATGGAACCACCAAATCCACAAAAAAAACCACAACAAACGAAACCTAGAATTCAAAACACAAATCACTAAAACAATGATGGGAGTGGGGCGCGGCGGCGACGAGCAAGTGACGGGAGTGGCGACGAGGAGACGACGAGCAAATGGGAGAGTCGACAGACTCCCAGACGAGACTCGAGAGTGAAGACCGAAAGGGATGAAGGGGATTTCAGGATTTGGGCACTGTAGAAGGGTTGGGCTGAAGGGGATTTGGACATTTTGCCCATTTGGGATTTGGATTGGGCTTTATAATTAAAAGTGAGCCTAGTATGGGTTGGGCCAGTATTACCGACGGAAAATTCAACTTAAATCCCTTCTCCTACTTTCAACTTCCAAATCACTCCCTAAGTTAATTTTTGTCCACTACACTCCCTCCTA